GGGTGACGCATGCGTTTTCCGGACCCGAATAAATGCATCTGTGCGTTTTGGCTGAAACCGAACCGATTCGATTCGATACCGATAGCGATTCGAAACCGGTCGCGAAAGGGGGCCGGCCATCCATGAGGTAACCAGAACTCAAATGTGGAAGGCTTCAGGCTACCCCAATTGCCCCAAGATGTCTGCTTTTTTGTCCACAAATGGCACCTGCGCGTTTCTTCCTGTAGAGCTTATAAGGGAGTGGAGAGATTGTTTGAGGGTTTGGGTGAATGGATTCAGATCGGGGTTTATCCAGTTGGGCGGCAAACGTCTTATTTCGGATTCGGACACACACACACACACCCGAACGAGGAAAAACACAAAACAAGGATTGTGGGTTTCCTTTTTGGTTCTCCCGCAAAAAACCCGCAGAACATATTCGGACCCCCCCCGGAGAAAAAAACAACACATTTCGGGTGTCCGGCTGTCCCTCCAAAAAACTGTCAGACAAACAAAGCAGCAACCAACTCAAAGAAGCAGATCATTTGGCGCAGACTCAGCTGAGGCAGTCCTTACAGAACTGGCCAGCAGCCTGGCCCCGCGCTGGGGTCCTAAAAAAACCGACGGGAGAGCCGTGAGTTGAGTTCTTCCCAATATGTGGGTATTTTCCCTTCTTGGTTTTTAAGGGAATCGACATCGCAGGATGTTGTTAGTTTTTTCCGGGGGGGGGGGAGCGAGGCAAGCCTTCTGGGGCCGCCAGGAGTAAGGGACATGGTCGTAGTTCCTCTTATTTTTTTGGGGGGGGAGGTGGGCCCCTGAGAGAATCCACTGGCAAAACCTGGGCACCCTGTTTAGCATTTGGTCTCCGTGGTCAGCACATACGCGGAGGTCCCAGGGTTCGGCCATGCAACCCCTTGTTACAAACATGGGTGCGTGTTTGTGTTTGAGGCTCAGCACCCTTTTTTGCAGCTGGTTTAAAGGGAAGCGTTCAAGGAACAAGACTCCCTATATTGAGACAAGCCCATGTAGCATTGTTCGAGTAGCCGCCTGTTGGTTTCTCATAAGGGCACAGGGGTGCAGTATTCCCCTTCCATTGACTTACCCACCAGGAATGAACGCCATTTGCTTTCATCTTGCTGCATGTGGATGTCCTTTTGTTGAGGCTCGGTGCCCCTGTTTGGATTTTTGCTAGAGGTCTTTATTTGCTGGGGAGGGGGGAGTCTGAATCCTGATCCCCCCCTTTCAAATGAAGGTGCGCGCCTATCCTGTTGTTGGATCAATACACTTGGTGGCTCCCAGCCATCCGGTTCCTTCGCCTTTTAGCTTTTTAGTGTTTAGTGGAGTTTCCATGCAACCCACGAGAAGCTATTCACTTTTAGCGCAGGATAGGTTTTGGGCAGCCCAGTTTTGGTTGTTAGCTTGTGATCTGTTTTTTTTTTTGGTGTAGGAACTCAGGCTTTTTTGGAGGATAGCATGGCTGTTCTTCGATCAACAAAGCTTGTGGTTTCGAGCCACTTTGCCTCCGCTTTTTTCGAGGGTCGGACCACCTCCACGGTGTCTGCCTTCTCAGAGCTGGACAAACCGCCGGCGGCCCCAGGTCACAAGCGCCGGCCTTCCATATTCCATGTCCAGTCTCGCCGGGCTTTTCCCATTTCTTCCATTTCCCTGTAAAGGGGAACCTTCAAACTTCCACTCTCCCGTTTTTTTTCCCTGTCTTGCATGTCCCTTTAAAGGGAATCTTCATTAAAGTGGCGGTCGTTTCAAAGGAAGCCACCGGAAAGTGCAGGTTTTGAAGGGACATCCAGTGATCCCTGTTCTTTTCAGGCAACAAATGTGGACATCCCAACGTGGATTGAGATGCCCTTTAGATGCTTTCGCGTTTGCAAGATGGGTGGTTTCTGAGGAGAAGGATGGGTGAAGGGAACCTTCCTTTGTGGGCTCCGGGGTTGTTACGGGTTTTTGTTTCTGGGTGCAAGGTTCAGGCTGGTTTAAAACCCACGATTTCCGGGGTCCCCTATTTGGGAGTGTCTTTTTTGGAGGGTACTTCCGTGTTATGTTCAGAATATCTCGCGGGATTCGTATGAAAGGGGTCTTCTCCCGTATCATTCAAGGGGCTTATGATTCCTGGAGCTTCTTCTTTATTTATGTTTTTTGGATTTGTCGTCCTTGAGCTTCTCTTAGATGAACGTGCATGACCGTTTGGCTTCTCAATAAAGCAACCGCCAAGAGCAGCAGCTTCTCAACAAAGCAACAAAAAGTAGCAACCCCCAAACGCTGCTTGAAGCCGAAAACGCCGCGTTGCTCCCTGAATGGCCACCAAGAGCACCAACTCAACAGATGGATCTAGACGAGCTCCAAGCAGTTGGGCTCTTCCAGCCCTAGTCTACCTGTCCAGTCCCATCGGCCAAGGGACGAGCCCAAGCCCGTGGAGAAGGCCTCGCGATTCGAGAGAGATGCGCGGATTGCGGATCTTGGGCTTTATGGTTGATATCTTATCCTTCTTTGGACATTGTTTGTTATTCTTCTTTGTGACGATAAATATGGCTTTTTGAATTGATGAGATCAATTTGATTTCAGGTTGCCAACGGGTTGAAAGCTCCTTCCTCCAACTGTCTTGGCCAGGGGGCCTAGGGGCTGTCTTGACTGTGTGTTGATTTCGGTCCCCTCCTGGCGTTTCACTCGTGGTGAACCGGCTTCGTCTTCGGGGGATTTCGCGGGCACCGTTTCGGGTTTCGCCAGGACACGCAGGTGGTGTTCTCCTCAGAGATCCGGTTTCGCCGAACGGGGTTCAAGCACCCGGACCTGCGCGTTTTGCTTGGGGAAGACCATTTGGGAAAGGTGTTTGGGAGTTGGGTTTCGGTTTTAGCAGTGGCACCCTGTAAATCTGTTCGTTTCATGGGCTCCCACCACAAAATGAATCAACAAACCACAAGGGGTTCTCGTTTCCCACCAAGGTCCCTGAACAACTTGGGGACAAAATGGGGGCCGCCTTTGATACGAAGGTCCTCATTTCACCAGGACTGGGAGTTGTTCAATTCAAATCGAACCAACCGTTTTCAGGTACCCCTATTTTGAGAAGAACCCACCTGGATCTCAAGTGCAAGGGGCAGGTGACCGGTGTAACACCCTCTGAAATTTGTAAACTTGTTGGTGGAAACCATTCTAGGTCCCCCAGTAGTGCCCTGTTGCCCTTTTTTGGGGGAGGGTTCCCTTACTAAAATAGACTACAGAAAAAAGGGTATCATTCAGACCTCTCTACTGGAGGACCTAGCATTATAAACCCCTGTAGCCCATGTCCAGCAGAGGCTCGGAGCATCTCGATACCGTTGTGTGTTGTTCCTTTGGCTGTGTGGGATTGAACTTTTCGGTGGTCCAGTTCAGAAAGAAAGCCATAAGATGGCTTTGTTGAGCCGATCCACTTGGGGTGATCTTGAGGGAGCAGGAAGCCGCCCATTTGTACGGCTTCGTCTCCAAATGTGCGCAACATGGGCTTGGGCTTCCTGAAGCAACCAAGGGCCCGAACCTGTACAAAGACGCCCCATATGCCTTGAGAAGGGTACGTTGGCCAATTTGGGTGCATCAGGTGAAGCATGAAAATACACACCCCTGTGGCAGTTTCTCTTCGTCAAGATCAAGAGGTAATTTTTTTGGCAGTCTTCAGTTTAGAACTGGGGTTTTGGGATTGAACCCCGACCCTCAAAGGCTCCACAGGCACTGGGCCCTGGATCCAGGACCCCCTCTAATTTACCCGAATGGAATCTGATTGGTTGGCAAAGTAGCAGGGCATCCACCCGCCCCCCCTCCTCCCCCCCTTGCCCCGGATCTTGGATAGGGAGCCCCCCAAGCCCCAAGCATGATGGGTGTCCGTTTGCTTCCCTTGAAGACCACCAAACAAGGGTACCCTGAAAAGAGACACCTCAAATTGGCATAAGTTGGTGTTGACGTTCTGCAGGGTTCAGCTCACGCCCCCGTACATAGCCCTGGATTGATGGAGATTTTCTGATTTGTCCAGACCCCCTTTTTAGAACCAAGGACGTCACAAAGCATGATTCACTTGATGAGTCGTGGATAGCCCCTGTTGGGGTTTGCAGGTGGCGTGCAAACATCCGAGTTTGGAACGTATAAGTTTTCCACTGATCCCACCCTCCATTCTTTTGAGAAGTCACTAGAACCCACTGCTTCGCCATTCTGGGCAAACCGGAATTCCTGGCTACCAGCCAGGAAGGGATCCAACTACTTTTGTTTTTGTTGTATCTTTTGGGGAGCCCTGTGGGCGAGCGAAACGGAGGATTCGTTCCATCTCACTTTCTCGACTGAAAAGTAGTTCACTACCAAGGCCGGCGTGCCGTCCTAGGGAGGCACGTGGCTTCGTTTTCCACGTGCCCAGGAGGTTCCTGTAGACGTCTCCGCAGAGGACCTGGGATCAAGATCAAGGGCCATGCGGTCAAGGGTTGCTTCTCTAGGTCCCCCAGTCGTGCCCTTTCTCACCCCTTTTTTGGGGAGGGTTCCCCTATTAAAATAGACTACAGAAGAAAAAAAAGGTACCCTTATTCTAACCTCTCTACTGGAGGACCTAGTTCCTATGCCAGGCTTCGGCTCTTCCGTTGCAAGTTTCAGGGGAGCCCAAAATGAGCGTGCCCTACAAGGGGATTGATTTGGACATGATGCAGGGTTGGGCTTTGCGTTAGTCTGAGGGGGTGTGCTCCTTTTTCTCTTTGGAGGTGGATTCAGAATCAGCATGAGACAATCGAGCTCGTTTAGCTTGTTTGGTTTGAACGGGGCGCTCAAGGAAAACACGTTGGGGGTATTTGCATTTAAGGGTTCAAGGGTGAGATTGTATCTTCTCAGGCTAACTGGTTTTAGGGTACCATTCTTTAGGTTTGAAAGGGGTTTTGAGTAACCACGACAGATTTTGGCACACTGGTCCCCCCCCTCCCCGGCCGCATCGCTTGGAACCCCGTGCCTCCAAGGGAGGCGGCTCTCCCTGGTTTGACGCATGGCAGGGGATTTTCTGCGCTAGGAGCCGGCTGAAGTGCTGGGGGCTCCAAGTTGCGCAAGCTGGTAGCCTTCGCCCAGATTCGTCTAAACCTCCATGCGGCCTGGCCTGCTGGGTCTATTGGTTTTTACCAGGTTCACCAGGTTTACTGGGCTTATGAGGCCCCTAAATGTGGTTCATTGGGCTTATGGCCCTATTTCTGACAAAACCATTCGGCCGCCTAGTTGTGCTCAGCAGGCCTGGTATGGCCTCAATTCGGCTTCCCATTTGGCGATGCCCTGTGGAAGGCTCTTGAGATCTGACGTTCGGGACCCGATGCTTGGGCTGAGGCAAGAAATGCGTTCAAAGGCAGCTCGCCACGTTTGGGCGCTGTTTGCTCCCATCCTGTCGAAGCTTGATTCCTTCATGATTGGCCTTTTCGGTTCTGTTCATTTTTCCTAGAAGCGATGTGTTTGGCTTTCTTTCTGGTATGTTTTAGTGGTATTTTGTTGCATCAGCATCACAACTTATACTACAGTTGTTTTGCCCATCAACAGAACCAAAGAAGTCTGGAGTGTTGTACCACTGATCCTGTCTGCACCGTGCCGGTCACTGATGCAGGTGTTGACTGTTGTATGTTTAGTTGTATGTTTAGTTGTATTTTTTGTATCAGCATCATATTTATACTACAGTTATTGCGGTGGTGTTACCCAGAAACAGAACCAACGAAGTCTGGACCCGGTTTGAAAGGACCTGGGGGGTTGGCCTGAAAGGCCGAAATCGAGGCCGGAACTGGAGACAACGGTGGAGACGGCCACCGAGGTCTCCGAGGCGAGGGAAGTGGGGGAGTCGTGAGGGGGGGGGGGGTCCCCAAAGGTGGGTGGTCTTATATTGTTTTCCTTTTTTTAAGAACGAAAGAAAAACAACGACGAGATTCAAATCTCTCCTTTGAACTAAGTATGATCCAGATACAAGCATATTTCTTTGGCAGGGGGGGCGGGCAAAAGCTGAGGTACTTGTGCGTTTCAAGTCTTTAGGGAGGCTAGGCTTTCGTGATTTGGAGATGGAGCTGTTGGTTTCTTCTAAACAATATACTCTTTCGCCACTAGGGTCAAAGACTAGACCTGTGGTGGATAGGAAGGTCATATGTTTTTTGGGGGCAGATGACGCAGAATCGCCCTTCGGACGGTTCGGGCGATTCTCTCGCCTGGATTCTTTTCAAGGAAGCCAGAAAGAGAGCCATCCAAACGGGAGAAATTGTTTCAAGATGTTTCAAGATTTTCCTTTTTTGGCTTGGCCCTAAAAAGCAGGGCCTAGATAGCCAAGTTGCTGCGTTTTTTCAGTCACTGTTGCTGGTTTTGGGGGGTAAAGTGCATGTGAAAAAAGCGATCGCAACTGGCGATCCAGGTGAACCGTTTAAAAAGTGAACTCGGTCCGCGGACCGGCGAGCAAAATGTGAGAACTCTTGGAAAAGGAGCCTTTGGGTGAATCCGAAGGCGTGCGATTCAATCAATATTGGATCCCAAAGGATGGTTGAATGCCAACTAAAGGTTGTGTTTTGCCATTTGGCCCATGTGCTGAGGCTGAACAGGCCCCTTCTATGAACAATGTGCTTTCGTGAGGAAGTTTGATTTGAAGTGCAGTGTCAATGGATGGGGCCAGGGCCCGTTGTGCCCTTTTTTCTTTTTGGGGGAGGTGTCTTCCATTTGCTGCAATCAATATGTCTTACCTTCCGTTTTTTGGTTTTACAGGGAATCGATTTCACTACTGGATTTTTCCAGGGGGCCAAAAGCCAAATGGGCGATGCCGATGGCTTCTTTTGGGGCCGGGCCGGCGACCTGTCCAAGGTGCCTGAGGAGGTGTCAGCGCCTGCCAGGGACTCGAAATGGGTTCTTTTTTTGGGTAAGCGCTTTTCCCAGTTGCCCAGTGGATTTCGCCTCTTTTTTCATTTGTTTTTTTGAAGGGTTCCCCCCCTTCAATCGCAACCAACCGAAAAAGCAGGCCCTTTTGTTCCCATGGCCACTGGGCATCTCAGTTTTTATGGCTTGAAGGGGCGACCAAGTGGATCTTTAAGGGGAAACCAAGGGGGAGAACATATTGTTGTATTTGGATATACCCTAAAAACACCCGACAGACCCATAGCTCCAGGTTGAAAACCTTTGGAGTCCCCGAGTCCGAGAAGCTAGCCCGAAAACAGAGCCCGCAGAGCTTACGAGAGAGAGTTCCCCCACCCCTCCACCCCCCAGTTCCCAAACGCGACAAAGAAAGAAGCAAGGCGGGGGGAAGCAGGGATGCTTTTTTTGGCATATTTGGCCGGTCATATTTCGACATGGATTTTAAAGTTTACAGGGACATGCCCGCTTCCCCCATGCGCGCTAATCTGCTTTCCCAATCCTGGTGGCCAGCAAAAGTTGATCACCTTAAAAGAGAAAGGTGATCACCTTTTGCTCCTGGGTCCAAACTGGGCAACTGAGTTCAGGGTTGCTGGCAGCAATTGGTTTAAGACTGTCCCAGTGTACAATTTCCTTTGGAACTCCCTGAATTTCCCGCAAAAACCAAAGGACTCGCGATTTGTCCAATGTTCCCGTGGAGAAATGAGGGTTTTTTTCGACCGTGTTGGAAACTGGTGTCAAGAGCCGGCCCTATGGAAAGCAAAGGCTCTTGAATCAATACCCGATCTGACCTTGTAGTTGTCCCTTTTAGGTTCCCATTTTTAGTGGCCCGAAAAGGGGATCGGTGATCACTTTTTGTTTATGGGTTTTTGAGGGGCAAGTTGGTTTTAGACAGAAAGTTGAGCGACTCGTTCTGGCCAGTCCACTCCTTGAGAGACACGTGGTCATGGTGCAAGGGTGGTGTTAAGTGAAGCCCCTGATGTGTTCGCCTAACATTCCAAAGGGCAATTTTAGTAGTTCTTGTTCGTTCTGTTTGTTTTTGGGCTGGGTAACCCGCTAAACCAAGGCCATCACATGTCTCTCACCAAATGCCGTGAGAGACACTGTTTCACCAAGGGCGAGCATGGATTGGGGTCGGGGTCACTCTTCGGGGGGCTTCGATCTCGCTTGCGAATGTGTGGAGTAGTTTTGTACCGTTTTGCGTGGTTTTTGCAGGAGTCATACTGTGGATTGCGAAATCCGTTCGCGCCACTTTGCCACCATAGGAAACCATTGTTTGGTATTCACGTTGGGGAATCGAAGCATTCCAGGGTCTCTTAGGTGGTGCAGGATTTCGTTCATCCACAGCAGGAAAGCCTATGTGAACCTTTGCCCCAGGGCCCCGCTGGTCCCTTGGGCCGCTTTGTTTCTGCATGTTCGCTCGCCGCAGCTTGCCCATGGCTAACATGAAACGGCATCGGCAATCCCACTGCAAAGCATGCTGAACTGCCTGTGTTTTCCTGATTTAAGCGTATATCCGTATATCTCAAGATATGCCCAAGACATGCTTGGTTAACCCCAATGGGTTTTCGGCTTGCTGGGTTTATCACCCGATTTGCACCCCCCCCCCCCCAATCCCGCCCACAAACCGCCCCCACAAACCCCATTCGATCCTCCCTGACCCCTGTGCCCAAACCCCCCCAAGCCCCCTCCGACCCCGCCTAACAGGAGTGTCCACGTAGTGAGAACCGCAAGTAAATTGGGCTCACAACCTTTTCCCTGCCTTGCTCTTAGGCAGAGGGCCATGATGCTTGGCTGAGGCGTGACTCGCGGGCCAACTGGCAGTAAGGTAGCTTCCGGGTTTTTTTGGGATTAGAGTCATTTTATGCGGCTTCATTGCGATTACCTTCATCATTCATCGGCCATATAAACCACTACTATAGGGATACGGTCTTGATATAGTGGTTTTCTGGTTCTACCAAAGGATTGAAGATCGTTGTATGCGCTTTATAGCCGCCAAAAGTCAATGAGCGTGGGGTCTAAGAAACTTGCTGCTAGATGCTGTCCATACCAATAGCGTGGACCCCCCTTCTCGCGGGCAGGTTCTCGGCACCGCAGAAGTTTAAATGCAGAAGCCCCTGTCGTCCGACTAGGGCCTCGGCCTGGGGAGAATTTGAACCTGCTTCACTGTTGTTGGCATTTGTTGGCATGTTTAGGTCCGCTCATCTTTGTGCATGTAGTAGGGGGCTGCAAGCAAACAAGTTTTTTTGCTACTGCTGTGTACCAAGGGTTGCGAGGTGGCGAGTTTCAAAGGTTAAGTTTGCTAGTACGGACCCCGGATTAGAACCCCTGCATATTTTCCACGGGGTCTGAACCCCACTAAAAAAGGGGACACCCCCTACAAATGAACCAGGTGTTTCTTAGCTCCCTCCTCAGGTTTTTAGGGTTTAGTGGGGGGTTCCCTTTCTAACCGCACTACAAGCTCAACTTTAGATCAGAAAACAGACAGCCCAGCGATTTGGGGCTCCCATTCACTTTGACCCCGGTTGGCAGGTTGGCTTCCCTGGGCCTTTTGAGCACTGGACAGCCCCGTCCGATTCGTCTCCCCATCCCGTTGGCAAAGAAAAAGCGCTTTGCCTGGCAATTTGTGGCAGGTGTTTTTTTGTTTGTTTTTTTCTTTGTTCATTTTGAGGTGCCGCGCAGCACGTAGCAAGGGTTGGACAGATTGAATCTACTCCCCCCGGCTCTTAATCCACCGGTTCGTTCCGGGATCAACGTTATGGACCAGTTATGGAGAGGGAAGCGCCCTCTAACGGGGAAAAGCAAATGCTTCCCAACAATCCCGGGATTTGCTGCCCCTTTTAAAGTACATTGCTTCTGCGCCCCTGTTTTGTCATACCGGTTGTGTGTTTCTGTTGAGGGGAACCCCTTACGTTGGCCTTGAAGGGGAATCAAAAGGAAACCAATGATTCCAGGTTGGTCCCCTGGGAGACCAACCAACACCCAAACCTGCTTGTCGATCATAGTATGTTGTTCCGGGCGAAAACGAGAAACATAAGACGCAGGCGGGGGCCAAACAAGGCAATTGCCGCCTCGAGCCGATAGGCTGAGAATGGAGGGCAAGGCTGCAACCTTTGGCACCGAGGCAATTGGAAGCGCCAATCGGTTCGAAGCGAATTCAGTTTGGATCCTTTGGGTTTTCTCTTTGGGCAGCCATTTTGGGGAAAGGTTCCAAAGACCTCGTATCTTTAGGTCCGCAAGGGCAATTGAGCATCGTCGTCCCACATGGTGGTCTTTCCTTTTCTGGCAGCCTCGAGTATCAAGAGATGTCCCCAGCCCATGTGGATTCTGCTGAAGTGTGCGATTCGCAGCTAGCCCCATGTACGCCCCAAGTGTTTTCTTTCCACTTGCTACAGCACCATTTGAGACATGATCCGGCCAATCCGCTCAACATTGAACTTGTTCCAAGCGAAGTTCGGTCTTCTGCTCGTGTGCTCTTGACTCCCAACAAAGCCTTTGCAAGGTCTCCTGTTATTCACCTCTGGAAGAACCTTACTGCAGGGATCCTGCACGGCCATTTTTCCTTTTGAAAGTGACCCGCCTTATCAGCGCACGAGAGGGCATATACTTCACGCTTGCAACATCCAAGCTTCCTTCAATATAGAAGTGGGGGCAGGCGGCGGGTGGCCCCTGGAATTCCACACTGGTTTCCATGTTCCATACTTTTTTTCGGACAATACTAGAAAAGATGAGCTCCAATGCGCGTTTAGGTAGGGGGATGCGGTAGAGGGGGCCCAATCCGCAAGGAAGCGCGCCGTCAGGAGACGGACCTTATTAGGTCCTTCAACCTTTAAACAGTGTTTCCCGGCATTCAACCACTACCTCGGCAGAAACTAGCTGTAGCGATGGGGCAACAGCAGCCCTGGCCCTTTGCTGGCGGCGCAACCCAGACTTTGGGGGGGAATACTTCTAGTCATGTAACCCTTTATTGGTGATCTGGATTAGTGGTTTGGGGAGAGCCAATTCCAAGCTCCAAACCACCAGCTATAGGACTTTTGGATCGATTCCCCCAGTCAGCAATGTGAGCTTGCCCCTTTGGCTTCTCTCCAGTGTTTTACCCTCTTGGTTGCAGAAGCTACGGTCTAGGGTTTTGGTGAAACCTTTGCGAAAAATAGCCTGTCGCCATGAACAGGGCACCTGGGCCCAAATTTTTTCTTGTCACGGCGCACTACACTTTCGTGTTCCTTGCAGGTCTCTTTCAACCTCTTTGAATGGGCTTAGGATTGGCCAAACACGCCGTAGTTCAGCTGGCATGCGTGGAACCAGGCAGATCGGGTGACTTTGTTCGAGATCCTCCAGATGCTGGCGGTAAAGGATGCTCACAAAGAGGAGCCGATTGGATTGACCCGACCGCCGGACGAAACGTCAAATCACGTCGCATAATTTACGACGATAAGAACACCGCAGCAGCGCAACAAAACGACAAGACAAATACAGCAGCAGCAGCAGCAGCAGCAGCAGCAGCAGCAGCAGCAGCAGCAGCAGCAGCAGCAACCGCAACAACAATAACAAGGCCACCGGCTGTCCAGCCGCCCCCACAAGCGTTGTCCGCTGAAATCAGGTGATTCAGTCCGATCATGCAAAAACCCTGTGTTTTTCTGCGTTTTCGACATCACAATCTTTGTTTTCAAGAGTGTGAAAATGATGGCCGGGCTCATAGAATATTATTCCACCTCATTTTCGCCTCAGCAAAACGCTTGGTTTTTCAAGGGTCTAAACGAAAAGTTGGTTTCAACACCATGAAAGGGCAGCAACGCGGTTTTCAACGCTAGTTCCACATATCTCACCAACCACAACCCAGAACCCACAACCAGCAGCCACCAACAAACAAGAAACAACCAAGAACCAACAACAAACAAGTAACAGCAACCTCTGCCACGGCCCACCTTTCAAGACCCCTCCTGCATCAAGCCAAAAGGTGGCAGAAGCACTGTGACTCAACAGCGCGGCAAATGCACGAGCACGAAGGCCAAGCGTGCAAGACTTTAACGTTGAGACTCGAGGAGAACCGCTGTGCATCCACGTCCTGCAACCGCGATACCTCGGCGTGGATCATTGATCGGTCGATTGTTTGGGACAGGGAGTCTCCGGGCACGGTTCATTTGGCGGACATGCGCGTGGGCGAGTGTGCTTACCATGTGCCAGGCATGCGTGCATGCGCGTGGGCGCGTGTGCTTACGCATGCGCCAGGCATGCGTGAATTTGAGCGACGTGCGCGTGCGCGGGTGTGCTTACCATGTGCCAGGCATGCATGCATTTGAGCGACGTGCGCGTGGGCGGGTGTGCGTACCATGTGCCAGGCATGCGTGCTTTTGAGCGACGTGCGCGTGGGTGGGTGCGTGCATTTGAGCGACATGCGCATGGTGGGTGTGCTTACCATGTGCCAGGCATGCGTGCATTTGAGTGACATGCGCGTTGGCGGGTGTGTTCACCATGTGCCAGGCATGCGTGCATTTGAGCGACGTGCACGTGGGCGGGTGTGCTTACGATGCGCCAGGCATGCGTGCATTTGAGCGACACGCGCGACGGCGGGTCTGCTTACCATTTGCCAGGCAAGCGTGCATTTGAGCGACATGCGCGTGGGCGGGTGCGCTTACCAAGTGCCAAGCATGGGT